GCATTCAAAGTTTTACAAAATCTTTCTGGTCCAATACAAGAGATCACATGGGCTTCTGTTTCTTGTTGGTGCATAGCTGAACATAAAACAGTAGCCCACGTAATCACTTGTATTAGATATGCATACTCTACAAAGTTTGTAAAATTTTGAATGCTTAGTCACAATAGTTTGCATTAAGTATTAATCATCATTTTCTTATTGTGGCCACAAAATTTGATTTCATATCTTTCTGTTGCAATTCTTTTTTTTAACAGCTATGTCGTTTTTGATTAGATTTTCTCTATTATAGTATGAACTGTTATGAAATCAGCAATGTAGTATAATGTGAAAAGTTAACTCTAATATGAAGTGTATAATATCATGTTCAACAGCATTCTGTACAAGGACAAGGTATGCAAACTGTGACTCACCTCACTATGCATATAGGTTTAATAATGTCAAAATGAAAATCATATGTGTGCACACTTATAAGATTATTTGATACACTGGATTCAGTTTTCTGCACATTCCTTGTTATATTTGATATTTCAAATAGCATCCAATTAGCTTACTTTGGATCAAATGACTGGTTTTACTTAAAGTACCTGTTAATCTAGAACACAGATACAGGCAATAGATGAGAAGCAAAACATGTTTTTTTATGTAGTTTCAACCTATAACAAGAAAAAATAAACTTTCAGGATTGACTGTTTCAAGCACCCAAAATAATAGATAGGTAAGTGATAACAGTGCAGTATTACATTAAGAATCCATGATTCAAATAAGGATCATTATGAGATAGTTAAATCCTTAAGTAGAAAATACACTAACCTTAAGAATGGCATCACGGAATGTGCGACAGAACCATCGCTCCACAGAGTCCACCTCATTCTCTTTTGTTCTTATAGTAATGTAATATCCTTCTCCAAATCTGTTCTTCAGATGTTGAATACTCCCTAGGCACTTAAAGTGGCCATTGACCATGATGGCCAGTCTGGTACAGAGAGCTTCACATTCTTCCATACTAGATCATAAAAACAAAATTCCCCATCACCGAGATATATGACCATGATGGCCAGTCTGGTACAGAAAGCTTCACATTCTTCTGTACTTGATCATAAAACAAATTTCCCCATCACCCAGATATATGACCATGATGGCCAGTCTGGTAAAGAGAGCTTCACATTCTTCCATACTAGATCATAAAAACAAAATTCCCCATCACCCAGATATATGACCATGATGGCCAGTCAGGTAAAGAGAGCTTCACATTCTTCCATACTAGATCATAAAAACAAATTCCCCATCACCAAGATATATGACCATGATGGCCAGTCTGGTACAGAGAGCTTCACATTCTTCTGTACTAGATCATAAAAACAAAATTCCCCATCACCAAGATATATGACCATGATGGCCAGTCTGGTACAGAGAGCTTCACATTCTTCCATACTAGATCATAAAAACAAAATTCCCCATCACCCATATACATATATATATCACAGTACAAAACGTTTTGTATTTCTCGTTACTAGACCAACAAGAAAACCAATCACTTCATGAATAATCTTCATATACGAGAATTTGGCCAATATGAAGAACCTCAAATTATTCTATAGGAGATTAAAAATTCAAGAATAACTCACAGGCACACACACACACACACACAAAAGTTTACATTAACATAATAAACGTGACCAATATTTATTCTAAGACTACATAAAAATTAAAACAAAATTATGAAAACTTTAAATACATTAACTTTGCAACTATTATAATATTTTTATGTTGAGTTTATATTTACAGGATGTCCATTATAGCTTTTAGAACACATACAATTGAGCTTATTAATGACAGAAAAAACATTCATCAGAAAGTTTACAGAACTTTAATCAGAATATTACTGAAACAATGAAACACAACACAAATTATTGGCAGATAATCTTTAAAAAATAAAAAGCATATTTACCTATGAGAGGTAAGGATGACACAACGACCCCCTCGGACTAAGTCAATAATCAGGTTCCATAAAAATCTCCTCGTGAATGGGTCCATTCCGGTTGTTGGCTCATCCTTATCAAACCCAAAAACATAAAAGTTTCTAAACATTTAACTCTATAAAATTGTTAAGCTATAAGTAGTTAGCATTATCCCTCAAATTACTGACTTGTTTTTAAACCATTCACTATGGTAAGGTATTGAGTAATTTTATGTTTTTAATTGCTAAAACATGCTGTGTAAAGAATTGACTAACATAATTAGATAAAATCACCTTTTTCTAAGTAAAATACAACAGGAACCCAAGCAGTAATTAATGGGATTAACCACAGTATCAATGGTACTTTTGCTTATATATTTTTAGCATTACTCATATTTTATTAGGATTCCTGTAACCAACAAATTCATGGACATTCAAGCTATTTGGTACATAAACAGTTTAGAAAAAATGTGTAAAAATCCTATAGGATCCATATGGAGCACATTGACAAAATAATAATATGTTTAGGAAGTGGTTTTCACATTACATTAAAAGAATCAAAACATTTATTGAGCCTTTATTTTAGTGTGCAGAGTAAACAGTAATAACTAAAAATAAAGAAAAAAGTTTGAAATTCAAGAAAATACTTTTCACTTTATGGTTGGTATTTTATCCTATTGTTTGGATGCACTTTATTTATCAAATAATTTAGAGATATTAATTCCAACCTATTCTCTTGTCAGTTTATTATCAGTTTAATTTTGAACCATCTTTATTTACTGGTAAGTTTTTCTTAATTACGTTGAATTCAAATTTCTGGTTTTTTGTTTCTTATCAATAATGTACTGAAGGTTTTTAGCTCTGTGTGTGTGTGTGCCCAATTTACACAAGAACTCAGAGATGATGATGAGGAATCCACTTTGAAACTAATAAAGTTTAGAGATGGCTTGAATGGATAATGAAGAAAACTTTCTTTACAAGTTGAACAAATGTACAACATTTGGACAAGGTTTAGTCATCATCAGGTACAAGTAGTTTAACTACACACTGATGAAACAAAGATGTCACATGACCAAAGATTGCTTAATAGTTTAGTAAAAGTATCTTGGTACCCAAGGATGATGGTTTAGAGTAGGACTGTGTTTTTCAATTAAGATTAATTCTTTGATTTTAGTTAGGTTTGTTGGTGTTTGTTCAAAACTACAGTGTTTTTGAAACCTATATTAAGTTGTTGTTACTTTTCAGTTTCAATGATTGTAAACACAGGAGAACATTTTATTAATTTCGGTGAACCTAGTTTACAGTTTTTCTAACATACATTTCTGGGCAGTTATTACATATTGTTTTATAAGTTATACTGAAAATTTATGGTTCTATATAATTTTTTCTTTGTACAGATTTCAGATGGATTAGTGTGACTTTGAAGTTGACAGGGATTTTATATTTAATGGAAAGTTTTTCCACATGAGAATTGTCTCTAAGCTGATTTCTGGGATAAATGGTATGTTTTAGTGTAATGTTTTTTGTTTTTTTTATAGTATCAGTTTTGTTCAAAAGTTGAGTTTTTTTGATAATGACTACAGGAATTTTGTTAGTGTGAATGAAAGAATGCTTTTGAAGTTTGAATTCTTCATCAGTGTTGCCCATTGTGCACAATCAGATAGATGACTTAAGTATGGGCAATCCTGTTTCACCTGTTATTATCAACATATTCATGCCACAGATCAAAATACAAGCCATAAATTCTGTGCTTAACCCTTTCTCATACTGGTATAGGTATGTTAATGTCACTTTTGAAGGATTCACTTCCGTCAACACACACACACAAAGTTTCTTTGAACACAAATTTGTTCATTTCAACATTAAATTCACCAAATGCAAAAACAAAAAACAATTAACCTTTCTTTACCTCAATGTTATCAGATCTGACACAGAATTCAAAACCAAAATTTATAGTAAGAAAATTCATAGTGGCCTCTAAATCCCCTGGAATTCCCCTCATAAAACCAAACAGAAAAAATTAATACACTAAAAAAACCTCATAAATACCACTTCAAGATTCTGCTCAACAGACAACACAGATAAAGAAATCAAACTTCTAAAGTATTCTTCACTAACACGAACAAATTACTTGCAGTTATTACTGAAAACGTATCGCACAACAAAAACCTTAAAACTCAACTCAAGAACAAAACTGATATTACTGAACAAATGTACAAAAACATTTTAGTTTGTAGTACCTTTAACACCAACAAACGTAAAATCAATGAACCAACTAACTTGAAAAAGACAGCCCCACTCTATACCAGCACCCAAGGTACTTTTACTAAGCCCTTGAGGAATCTCCAGTTATGTGACCAATTAGTTTTACCACTATATGTATGTAATCCTGTGTCTAGATAAGCTACTCACACCTGATGATGGTAAAAACTTGTGGGAATGTTGTACATTTGTTATTGTGTTAAAATAAATTGTTCTTCATTACACTTTCAAACTGTCTCTAATCTTTATTACATAAGAACTGTTAATAAACATGATTAGTATTTAATCAGGTACCATCAAGAGTTAAATTTAAAAACTATAATTAGATAAAAAACTGAACTGATGAAACACTCACCAGAAAAATGACAGGCGGTGCTCCAAGCAAAGCTATGGCAGTGGAAAGCTTTCTTTTATTGCCGCCACTAAAAGTTCCTACGGTTTTGTTGGCATATTGAGACAAGTCAAGTTTTGTTAGAGCCCACTCCACTACCTGAAATATTATGGTTAATCTCATAAGAAAAAACAACAGTATAGAAAATATTTCCCATCAAATATGCTAGCTGTCCCTAATTTAGAAGTGATAGACGAGAGGGAATGCAGCTAGTACAAAAAAAAACTATCTACTGCCAACTCTTGGGCTAGTTTAATCAAATAGTGAAATTGTTCAAATTATAACATCTCCACGGCTGAAAGGACAAACATATTTAGTAATTAGATCTGAACCTGCAACCAAAGATTGCAAATAGAGCACCCTAACCACCAGGCTATACAACAGATACTAACAATAAAATAGTTAAACGATGCAACCGTTCTTCAATCTATGATTGAGGCAGTGCTTTCACAATAAAACAAATACACACTTAAATAATTAGCAGAACTCTACTGAAAGAGTTTTAATAAGAAAGGATAAAATGACTACATTTCAGAAATTTTCCATCTTCAGGTGAACTTTGAAATGGAAGACTTAAGAAATGTCATTCCCTTACCATTCTTTACTGAAAACCTGTCTAATTAATTTGTGTAGTAAATATTTGAGTATAAAAGACAACTTTATTATAGAAGTAAGCGATCTTATAACATCAAATTTAGTTGTTTGATTTAATTAGACACTCAATGTTTCACTTTGAAGTTTCTTTGGCAATGTTCTATTAAACCACAAATCATTACTGACAGTACAAGGCTTTGATTCATTTGTAAAAGAAATTTTATATGACTAAAAATCTCAATAGAAAAATTTGGTTACTAAACGGGAAAATTTGAATTTTTAATAATAAGTTTTACTACATATAATATCAAACACATCGTAGAAATGCACACTATAGAATCAATTAGAATGTCTGAAGCTTTGCACTGTTACAGTTACAGTTTGCATTTTAGTGTACCTAACTTTGAAATGATAGACAACAACATCCACTGCCAACTCAATCAAATACTGGGATTTGACCATCACTCTTATAATGCACCTACAGTCCCAAAGTTTGGATAGAATGTTTTTGTGTGGTAAAAGGACACAAACCATGGATCCTTAGATTCACAATCAGGAATGTTAACATTAGGTCATGCCTCATCCACTTAAAAAATGTAACACCTAAAGAAATACAGTTACCTAACAAAAATCTTCTATAGATATGGTTATCGAACAAAGGAACACCTAAAAAAATATATTGAAATAAAAACCCATTTTATGTCTTCAAGATTACACATGTTAAGCAAAGAACTGTATTTTAAATAAAATGCACACTTATGTATGTTGTAATTTTGTTTAAATACTGATAAACATGATATTGTACTTCACAAGAAATTTTATGGACCCTACAGCTAACTTATAACAGTTTCTTTCAAAATGCGTCAAGTTTATCCTTGACTTTTAGAACCACTTGTCTGGACTTTTCTACTTTATAAAGATCATAAAATATCAATTTTATAGAAACTAAGATAATACTGTGAAATTTTATAGTGGTGTTCTTCTTGACATGTCATCTAAAGTTACAAGTTTTATGGTGGTACCTTTTTCTCCTCTTTGCGTGGAATTCCTCGAAACCGTGCATATAGTTGCAAATGGTCTCTAGCAGTAAGTTCATCATAAAGGGCATCGAACTGGGGACAATAGCCTAAGTATTGCTGGACTTTATGTAGTTCCCGATAAACACTGAAAATTAAGACAAAATTAATACTGTGATAATTGTTCAAGTGTTGTTGAATATATAGCTGTTAAAAGTTTTCCTGACAATATAACAGTTGAAACAGTTGTAAAACTGTAGAAATTTATGTGTTCACGGATATAAAGTATGATGCAGTTAATAATAAGTAAGGTACTATAGTAATTTATATACAGCTATAGGAACAATAATTTAAACAGGATAATAGATGTCCACACAACCATTACCATACAACAGCAGCAACAGTGATTTAAACAGGACAACAGATGTCCACACAACCATTACCATAAAACAGCAGCAACAATGATTTAAACAGGATAATAGATGTCCACACAACCATTACCATAGAACAACAGGAACAATGATTTAAATAGGATAATATATGATGTGTCCACACAACCATTACCATAAAATAGCAGCAAAATTGGTTTAACAGGATAATAGATGATGTGTTCACACAACCATTACCATAAAACAGAAGCAACAATGATTTAACAGGATAATAGATGATGTGTCCACACAACCATTGCTATAGAACAACAGGAACAATGATTTAACCAGGATAATAGATGTCCACACAACCATTAGCATAGAACAACAGGAACAATGATTTAAACAGGATAATAGATGTCCACACAACCATTACCATAGAACAACAGGAACAATGGTTTAAACGGGATAATAGATGTCCACACAACCATTACCATACAACAACAGGAACAATGATTTGAACATGATAATAGATGTCCACACAACCATTACCATACAACAACAGGAACAATGATTTAAATATGATAATAATTTTGGAGGCATAAACAAAGCTGGGAATACAGTAGTCTAAATGTAGCAAGATTAGTACTAATCAGTCAATTACGTGGTATTACATGTTTATAAACTTTAATGTTGTGTATAGCATTGATTACTAAACACTTTACTGTTTGAAGTTTATAATTAAAATAAAGTTGAACTATTAGTTAATGTGTATTCCTTTATAATTTATACTCCCCCATATCAGTCTACTGCGATTTTATTAGCCACTTAAATTCACCGTATTATGCAGACTGAAGTGTTTTGACCTACTACATTTACTGGCTGCATATGTTGTCATTATAACAATTAGAAACTTATCCATATGTTGCAGCAGCTGCATGTTTCATATATTCAATAGGCTCAAAAATGGGCTGTGAATTAACATTAATGTTTCTAAAATAACTGAGTTTAATACCCTCACACTGCTTTTTTTTTAATCTAAGACTCATCATTGAGAAAGACCACTTCAGCCATGATTTCTTGCTGTTTTTATTGTTACAAGTAGCAAAAACAACTTCAGAAACTCATACAAACTACAAGAGAGGTTATGTAATTTTACACAACACGATTGATATCACATAAAGACCACTTCAGCCATGATTTCTTGCTGTTTTTATTGTTACAAGTAGCAAAAACAACTTCAGAAACTCATACAAACTACAAGAGCGGTTATGTAATTTTACACAACACGATTGATATCACATAGCCATACCTGTAACCATTTAAATAAGCATCTCCAGCTGTTATGAAAGTGTCTCCAGTCAACATCTTGAAAGTTGTAGATTTTCCTGCTCCATTAACCCCCAGAAGTCCAAAACACTAAATACAGAGAAGTAATATTTTTTTAAACCAAACATACCAGAACCACAATTTAAAAATTAGTTCAATGAGCAAGTCATAAATAAGGAACATACTACTGTGTTACAATACACATTTATAGAATTTAATTATTCACTGTGAAACAAAGTGATTTGAATATAATACAATGAAACAAAAATAAAAGAACTGAGAATAAAGTATACACAATTTACTACAATAAACCCACAGTATAATACCAACAGATATACAAATACTACAAGGAATATGTTAAAATACTTTATTACCTCTCCTTCTGGAACCCCTAAGCACAGCCTGTCTACAGCTAAGTGTTTGCCAAGTTTTCTGGTTTTATAAACCTGAGATAAAGAATGGATCGTAATAAAGAATCTCTGAAAATCATACTTAAAATTCTATTTAGCTCTGACTGTGATTAAATTGATAAAATGTTTTGATTTAAATTAAAAAGAGATCTTGATAAAACATTTATTTATTTGTAGTTACTTAGAAAGTTCAAATGAACCTACCTAAATTATCACAAAAGAAAATATGTTAAAATACATGGTGGTCAAAAATTCTTTCCTGTTTTAAAATTTAATTATTAAATAGATGAAAAAATACAACCATGCAGTTTTCAACATTTTGTAGCCCAACTCAAGTAGTTTTAACTGACACGTTTTTTCACTCCAGTGAATAGTGTTACCCTGTCAAATGACAACCATGCAGTTTTCAACATTTTGTAGCCCAACTCAAGTAGTTTTAACTGACACGTTTTTTCACTCCAGTGAGTAGTGTTACCCTGTCAAATGACAACCATGCAACAAGAAAAGGCTCAATGTATTGGGTTGGTCAGGGGGGGTAGGGGTAGGTTAAGGACATCGTGTATCTCACACCTACGGCAAACATCACAAAGTTAATGACCAGGATAACCGATGTCAACACCATTGTAACTGTGGACATGTTGCAGCGAATGTGAACTGAAATCAAATATTGGTTAGATGTGCTGAGAGCCACTAATAGCACACACATAGAAGTCTATTGACATGTCACTAAAAATTGTTTGAGTTGGGCTACAAGATGTTGAAAACTGCACGGTTGTATTTCTTTACTTATTCAATTATTAATTTTGAAATAGGAAAGACAATTTTGGACCAACCTGTATTACCTAGTGTAAGCCATACTGTGAAAAAGTATCCATTTCAATCAGAGACGTATACTCAATCTTCAGTACAGATTTTAAATAAACTATTACAAAGAAACGAATAAAATTATATTTACTTGGTATGAAAGGGTTTGCCACTTGTATAATTTGTCTTCTATTAATAAGGGTTATCAGAAACATATTAAAATATACATAGTTCAAAAAATTTAAAAGGATAAAAAGACTTGATAGACATTTCCCAAACAAACTTGTACCAATAAAGCTTCTACTGTTCCTTACACCATTTGATTGATATGCATTTGGAAAGCAAATGACAAACAACATTAAAAAACAAACATTTTCTTGGGAAGAAAACAATTATTTTAAATGTTATGAAGTTTAAACAAATTTTGTTAATTTACATACCTATAGAGGTACAATTTCATCATCACTTAGTAACCAATTTTCCAATAAAAAGGAAATATTGAGTTTATTCTTTCAAAGATTTGTATTTATTAAAGTACCTTAGTAATGTTAACTAACTGAAGAACATCAGATGAGGCTAAACCTCTCAGAATCCTCTCCCTCTCTTTATCTACATCTTCATCATCTTCTATAAGTGGATATTCTGGAACTTTGATATTTCTATGGAACAAATTTAATAAAAAAAACACGTTTCAAATCAAGAACTTTGAGCCAATGCTTCTATTAAATTTTTAATTGGTTCAATTTAGTTACAGTGACTACCTATCCCTTTTACTTTCTAACTTATTTCTTTAATTTTTTCTCCTGGCATTATTCAGAATGAAAGACATTTCTGAATGAAAAAACAATAAAAAACTTTTCATAAAGAAAATGGGGTAAAGATAATAGGCCATAACATAAAACACTAACAAACAATCCTAAATGTGTTGTATTCTGCAAACTTTACAACAGACACAAAAAGAGAGATAAGAATTTTGAGGCCTTATATTTATTTCAATTTATTAAAAAATACAAACATTGCATCCTTTAGTATTTCCTCAGCAAATTCTTGTAAAATATTAAATAAAAGCATTGAAAGAAAGACTAAAATATATATTAGTCATGAGATCTCAATTACGTTTTGACAAATTATAAACAGAACATATCAAACTTTACAACTAGAATGTATATGATACCTACTTTGGTTTCAAGAAGAAGTGGAAATCGCATAACAGTGTCAAGAGAAAAAAACTCAATCCTGAGATTGCCATGGCAATCAAGTTTCGTGTCACCAAATCCCAAGCAAAGGGTGATCTCATTTTATTGTACTGCCCTAAAAAGATGCACCATACGACTTTGAGATAATCTGATAAATTAATACAACTGCACAAAATCTTAACATTTGAACAAATGAAATATATTTGCTTATAAATATTAAGTTAATAGCATTTCCAAGGAGTGTTATAGTATATTTTTATATTTACAGAAAACTTTGACTTCAAACAATGTACTAGATAACATATTTAAAAATATCAAGGAAAAAAATCTTATGGGTTCAATTCTTTTATTCATAACAAACAGTTTAAAACTAATCAAATATGTCTATTGAATGTACATAAATATTTGACAGTAAAAATTAAATTAAGAACAAACCCAATAAACAATGAATGGCTATCCAACAATATTAAATTTAATAACTTTCTAAAAGTAAAGATTTATATATTTTTTCCTTATTTTGGAAAAGCATAAATATGCATTTCTCTTGATGTAAATCATTAGATCCAGATTTTTGACTTAAATATTTTTATGAATATGGTCAATCTTTATACATGTGTATAAAGACTAACACTCACTTTTTAAATGTTTTTGAAATAGAAGGGGTTGGAATCATATAAAAGTTGATCAATGTCATCTTACCTGTCTTGAACAAGAAGAAATTCTGATACTCATTAAAGGCAATATCCATCAGTCCACGGCCAAGACAGTAGTTAGGAAACAAGAGAAAAGTTGCCTTCAATACTGTATGAATTTCTCCCAGGTACTAAGTGAGACAATGAAACTAATTACATCACACACTGAAACACATTTTCAGTAGCAGCTTTGAAGTACCCCTCAATATTTTTGTGAGCAAAAATAATCAGTTTCCCTTAATCTCCCAAGATGAACAAGAAGATCATACAATTTAATAAAATGAGGTACAAAATGTTATGCATGGTAACTGTACCATTTAACACAAGTTTATAATAGCTGAAAATATGTAAAAACAATTATATCAATTATTTTTCTCTCCTTGATCCCTTCATATGGGGTCGGGACATCTTGTGATCTTTCTCCATTTAAACCTATCATTCACCAAACTGAGCCCTACTTGACCACTGACATCTTTTATATGATTTTTCCATCTCTTCCTTGGTCTCTCTCTCTCTCTGCTGCCTGCCTTTCACTTTCCTTTCTGCTGCCCACTTCACCAAACTGTCCTTACCCATCCTTTACACATGCCCATACCTCCTCAATCTTAATTCCTGATCCTTCTATCTGATGTTACAAACCTTCACCTCCTGTCCAGTTTCTGTGCTTTATTTATGATCTCTCAAAGTCACACTTCTAACTCATTTCAACCTCCTCATTTCTGACACTTCCAATATAACTCTTCTTCACTACCAAAGTTTTTATGCTAAATAGCAGAGCCAGCCTGACCATGGTTTTGTACTATAATACCAGTAAGTTGAAAGTTTCTTTTTAGTTAAACAGAGTAGACCAAACAAAAGTTTAGCACAGTAATTCTTTAAATATTAACACTACCTATGGTGTATTCCACTTCAAGAACCTAGATTAAGATTGTTATTGTTCCATCAAGTATTTAAAAAAAAATTTATAATTTTTTTCAGAAAAAACATCAGTGATGTAAAATTTTTTTGTCATTACAAGGTGTTCAGTTTAAACAAATTTTACAAATTTTCATGACAGAATGTTCCTAAAGACATATTAATATTTAATATACAACAAAAAAATGTATAAAAAATATACACTGATGATAAAAGAAAAGGATTAAATGTAAATAAAACTACCAACTAATACAAGAAGTTCTATTAAGATCTTGTGGAGACTATTTCGATAAAAAATAAAAACTTGTGCCTACAATAAAAAACATAGTTTCAAAACCTCAGTCATTAATGTGTTTTATAGGATGTTCTAAAGACCCTTAATCCACATTAAATTTTATACATAAGACATTGTGTAGCATTATAATGCTAAAATGAGAAAATAGATCTGCCAATTGTGCTACAGACTAGTACCATATGTAATACCTAATATGATAGGAATAGTTAGATGTACAAATTACCTTAATCCACATTAAATTTTATACATAAGACATTGTGTAGCATTATAATGCTAAAATGAGAAAATAGATCTGCCAATTGTGCTACAGACTAGTACCATATGTAATACCTAATATGATAGGAATAGTTAGATGTACAAATTCATTTAATACAACAAGGAACTTTACTTGGCTGTCTTTTTTTAGGCATATGCTTCTTACACAAACTTTGTATTTTTTAATTTTTAACTCTACAGTTTTGTAGGCCAGGTCTATAATTTTACACGTTTCATTAACAATTAAGTAATATAACTTCTCATGAATATATTCCAGAAGAATTGCCAAAAACATAAATTCAAAAGCCAAATGCAGTTTATTTAAATGATTTGTGTATGCTAGTGTAGTTTGTGACATCATACATATTAGCTGTGGCAACAAGAACAACCTAAAAATGTGGGTCATGCAGAATTTTTACCACTCAAAAGTATAGTGTCATCACATGGCCCTTTTGGGACCTGAAACATTATTCTTATAAATTAAAGATAACACATATCAACTTAGTGCAAATACATAGTATCATGCACATATGGTAAATTAACACTTAGTGCAAACAAACAGTATCATACATGTTTGGAAAATTTACACAATAAACCACACCTTTGGAACAAAATATTAACATAGTTTGTTTTGTTAGCTACAATGGGCTATCTATGCTGTGCCTACCTAGGGCATTGATATCCAATTTTTAGCATTATAAGTTCTCAGACTTACCACTGAGTCACTGAGGAGGAGGGATAACACAAAGACTAGTAAAGTGGATTTGACACTTTCAAGTTTTTGTTTCAGTCCTATAGTCTTCTCTGTAAGACTATGGAATTGACACTTTCATGTGTCCTTTTCAGCCCTACAGTCTTCTCTGTAAGACTATGGATTTGACACTTTCATGTGTCCATTTCAACCCTACAGTCTTCTCTGTAAGACTATGGATTCGACACTTTCATGTGTCCGTTTCAGCCCTACAGTCTTCTCTGTAAGACTATGGATTCGACACTTTCATGTGTCCATTTCAGCCTTACAGTCTTCTCTGTAAGTCTATGGATTCGACACTTTCATGTGTCCGTTTCAGCCCTACAGTCTTTTCTGTACGACTATGGATTCAACACTTTCATGCATCTGTTTCAGTCCTACAGTCTTCTCTGCAAAACAATGGAATTGACACTTTCATGTGTCCTTTTCAGTCCTACAGTCTTCTCTGTAAGACTATGGGTTTTACACTTTCATGTGTCCATTTCAGTCCCATGGTCTTCTCTGTAAGACTATGGAATTGACACTTTCACGTGTCCATTTCAGTCCTACAGTCTTCTCTGTAAAACTATAGAATTGACACTTTCACGTGTCCATTTCAGTCCTACAGTCTTCTCTGTAAAACTATGTAATTGACACTTTCATGTGTCCGCTTCAGTCCT